TTCCCCGCTGATGTGTGGGGTGCAGGAGCTCTGGCCTTCTTGCTGTGAGTAAACGACACCACTCTGTGGGCCTTTCGTCTTTTAAACCATGTCCTCGTGTAAATAAATGTATGTGTATTTGTTTGTGAGCGTGTGTTCTTATGTTTGAGTGTGTGTGTGTGTATGTGTGTGTGTGTGTGTGTGTGTGTGTGTGTGTGTGTTGGCTTGTATGTGTGTGTAGGGGGGTGGGGGTGGGGGTTACGGCGAAAGATAGGAGACCGTGTCTTTTTAAAAAATAATTTTAATTATTATGACTCTGATTTGAATAAATATGTAACAAGAAACTGCACCTTTTGTTATTGATGCTTAAGTCACTGTGTGTCACTGTCATAATAGTTCCATCGACAGCACGTCAATCTTGCCCTTTTGAGCTGAAATATAATGGCTTCAACTAATCTACTTTCTTTGGGGAGGGGGGATGGGTTAATAAAAGCTAATGCAGTTGCTTTTATGGACGTATATGTTGAGAAGATGTATAAATAGCTCATACTCTATTTTGGTCTTTTCAAGTCAACAACAATTGCGGTGAAGTCGTACGATAACAATGACTATTCTCCTCTCCTTCTTGTCCTCCTATTCACCTCACAGGCTGAGCGGAGTCGCTCCCTTCCGGGGTGAGAAGGAAGAAGACACACTTGTGAACGTCGCTCTCAACCGCTACGATGCTGCTGATCTCTATGAAAACGTCACCACCGAAGCCTTGAAGTTCCTGTACAAGGTCATGAAGAGACTGCCCAGGTAAACACATTACAGCATCTCTTTTTGATGTAGCAGTTTTTTACGTTCGATCAGTACCAATATTTAGATGATTTAAGAAACGAGCTTCCACCCTACCTCTAAGTACCCACTTGGGAGGAGAGTTTGGTTTTTGTTGTTGTTGTTTTGGGGGGTTGGGGGGGGGGGTTGGGTAAGCGTTTTACGACGCTTGCAACTTGGGAGGAGAGTGATACAACTCGATAGAAATTACCCTCAGACGGGAATCAAAGTCAGGTCTTCCTAATGCAACGACAAAGTGCCTAACCCCTACTCCACAGACGCCGGTACCGCTTCTGGTATCTACGAGTGTGAGTAGATAGTTTGCAGTAGGGAACTGTATACGACACTCATATTCGACTTGATTGATTAGTCTATTATTAACATTTCCATCTTCAAAAACAACTGTTCTGTGTTTAAGTACAGAGAGAAAGTGCACTGTAAGACGATTCACTCTTAAAAAAGATGCGTTACAAGAAAGGAACATGCATTTTTGAGGACATCGCAACCTACACTGAAAAAAACAACATTTTGTTTCGTTTCTCAGATAAAACTTCACTCAAAAGTAGTTTTGCTCTATTCTTAGTACATTGTATAATATTAGATATGTTACTCCCTGAAAATAGTACCAAACATACTGCATGTCACCACCCTTTTTGGGATATTTTTAGAACCTTATTTAGTAGCGTGAACTGTTTTGAAGTATACAATCGTTGATTCAGTACGTCTTCAGGACTCGTCAAAAGAATCTGGTTTGTTTTATTGAAAGCTTGTTGAGGTGGCAATGCTCAAAACGCTGCATCAGTAACTGTATCAGTATGATTTTTTTTTTTAATGGAGCCACGGTATAAGCCAAGCACTTTTGTTTGTATAGCAGACTATATTCGTGAACAAGAAACAAATGGCATGTGTTTGCAAGTACTAGAGATACTGGGACTTCGAATTTTTAAATCCATACTTTTCCTTTAAAAGTTTTTGCCCGGTAAATCACTTTTCTGACTTGAAATAAGGGCAAAGAAGCTAGTAACATGCCTCAACTCAGTGCCAGCGAACACGTGTTGCCTGCAATTGTGTGTGTTTGTATGTGTGTGTGTGTGTGTGTGTGTGTGTGTGTGTGTGTGTGTGTGTATGCGTGTGTGTGTTTGATAGGGATTGAAAGATTAGTTACGAGTACCGAATTTCTCCCCTTTTTCTGATAATGGTAGATCTATCTGGGTTTTAGATATATTTTGATTGGTTTTATTTAATTCCATTAGAGTCTTCACAAATTCCCTTTCAACACATAAGTGAGCGTACTATACATACTAATGTTTAAAATGTCACCTCTATTCTCACTAGAATTCAAACTCAAGTACCTCCATTCCATCCCCCTAATTCCACCCCCCCTCCCCTCAACTCCCACAACTTTTTCTTCCTCAGGAACCGGCTGAGTGTGAGAGACTGCTTGGAGCACAAGTGGCTGCTCCTGGGCGACAAGACCGTCAAGGACAGAGAGGCGGCCATTTTCTTGACCAATACCCTGGGTGATTTCGTGCACCAGTACGACGCTGACCGGAAGCGGGATGACTTCCGGCAAGATTTCGACCAGTCGGAGTTGCCGATCCAAATGGCAAAGCTACTTCCTATAGATGTCACTGCCCTGCAGACAACGACAGACAGGACTGTGAGTCCCAAAGTTTAAAACATCTTTATTAAACCTCTCTCAAGTATTTAGTGGGTTAACTCACGGTCGAAACGTTATTTTCTGCTCTAGCTTGTTTGTTTCTATGATGGCAATATGCTGTCTTTGCTAACACTAACAAACAGAGAGGGGCTGAAGACAAAGAGAAATACAGTAGAGGCTTGGATTAGGGGGTGTGGGGCAGGGCTCAGGGGATTTCCCCGAGAAAGAAAAAGGAGGGGGGAAGTCTGGATGCTCTAGAAACTCCTTAAAAGCTGCATTAATTTTCTGGAAAGTCACACCTGCCGACAAATATCTGAAAATAGCCACAAACTAGCACACACATAATTTTTAAAAAATCTGATTTACATCGCAGTCTTGTTTCCAATAATAGTCCCCTCCTAGATAGACACCCCTTGATATGACAGTTGAAATGTTCCCCCTCAAGGTTGAAAATAGTTTAGGTTCACAATTTAAATAAAAAGCCAAAAAGGTGTGAACCACAATATGTATTCAACACCTGTTTTGTTCAGTCCCCTAGCCCGAGACACTCAGGTGTAGCTCTGGGCTGGCAGTTTACGAAAGGATTAGTCTAAATAAACGTACGTTGTAATTCACGGTTTTTAGTTAGCATTTTTAACAAAATACTTATGGTCTGAATAGCAAGTAATAGTGTGAGGGCGAATACATACTAGACATTGAATTTTGTTTCTTTCCATGCCTGTCTGTGGCTGTGTTTCTCAAAATAGCTGTTGCTTTGAAAGGGGAGAGTAGACCACAGTTAGATATTAATCCACTTGAATTTCTTAGTATTTTAAACCGAGTTTCTGTATCTCTGAATTGCATTAGAGCATGATCGCTTCTGCTTCGCTGTACGGAATGTTGCAACGCTCTATCTAATTAGTGTAGCCAAAAGACTTTAAAGTTAAAAGTAGCCTTATCTCTGTGTTTTAACGTTCGCCATGAATGCATGAAATTGATTAGCTTCATATTTCATTGTCTTGAACATAAGGACACTATTTTTCTCTTGATTGATTTCGCTTTTTATATTTTTTTCAAGTGCTTTGATATAGAACGTTATCGAATAATAATTCCCCAGCGATCTGCTGTATCGAAGAAAGTAGGATTCACAGACGTGGGTAGGAGTCGAACTGCGGGTGGGGCAGAGTTGACACTGGAAGCAAAACTTCAGGCAAAAGCCGACCGGCTCGCTGCGGAAGAGAAAGCTCTAAAAGATACAGGCAAGGGAGCAGAACTTTCTAGAGACGAACAGGCGGGAAAGTCGACAGACGGAAAAGATGTAACCGAGAAATCGCCCGAGGGCAAAGTTGAAGCAGGCAAGGGAAGCAAGCCAATAGCAGAGGAGTCAGAATCAGGCAAAATGGCGATATCAGAGAAGTCAACGGCTCCGGAAATTAAAAGTGTAGAAGTGAGTACAACCTTGGGTGCTCAGAGAGTTGCGAGTGAAGTCGTTGAGAAGGCACTTGCCGAAGCTTTACAAAAGGCAGGTACAGGATCGGACTCAACGACAACAGTGCAGGAGGGAAAGAAAGAAGTAAAGAAGGTAACAAAGAAGGAAGAAAAGAAGGAAGAAAAGAAGGAAATGAAGAAGGAAGACGCGAAGGAAACAAAGATGGAAACAAAAAAGGAAGACGCAAAGGAAACAAAGAGGGAAACAAAGAAAGGAGAAGATGAAACTGGAAAGAAGGAAAAGACAAGCAGCTAGTGACAAAGAAAAAGTTCCTTCTTCACTACAGCTCAAAAAAGGTTTGACATACAGTGGTTCTTCCCCGTGTAACACTTCACATTTTGAGTTTTCCACGACTTCTCCGCCCAAAACCTACACTCTGACAAAAATTCAACCTTGTGCAATGAGCTATGATTTTGATTTTTTAACCTATTTTTTCTATGCCTCTGTGTTCGCACCATAACCATACCCATCTAGCTGTCGTCGGCATTACAAGCCAAACTACGCAAACAGACAAAAATAAAAATATTCATTTTTGGTAAATGTCGTGTTGTCAGCTTACTGGCCTCTTCTAACACTAACGCCACCTCATTTACACCACACTTTTCTGCTTCAAACATGGAAATCCACAGCCTTTCCTGTTATAAACGGACCTGTTAGACAATTGTAACTTTAAAGCTCCCCACTAAAGTGCCTTTGTTAAAAGTCACCTATCAAGTCGACCTTTTTGTTAAGCTTTTCATGGAATACATACCGCAGTGGGATGAAAGACTGTCTCTATTTTTTTTATGTCACTGTCTTTGTTTTCGGGAACGTTTGAGCTTCAAATGAATGTTCAAATGTTTTATTATTTGAGTGTAAAGCCATTTTTGGAAACAAAGTTAATCACCGTAATCTCAAAGCAACAAAAACTCTTTTCTGAACACTGGACTGAAATGAAATATTCTCAAAAATCCAGAGGGAAAAAAGAAACCTGTTGGGGTTTTTTTGTTTGTTTTTTGTTCAACCATTGTACCTTTACCTTCTGCATGGGATTTGAGCTCCAATCCTGTTCGTCCGCCCTCAACGTGGATTTGAAAGCCATCCATAGAGCCTATGTGTGCGTGTGTGTGTGTGTGTGTGTGTGTGTGTGTGT